GGCGTGGGAGAGCTGGACCGGCTCCTGCAGCAGCTCAGTGCCACCCATGGCTCCATCGCAGGTAATTGGCTGGGCGGCGGGGCCAGGGGGCGGGGCCATGAGGCTGGGGGGGTCTCAGCTCACGTCTGTCTGTCCCAGATGAGATCCTGGCCCAGTTCCCGCCCAGCCATGGGCCCGATGGGGACAAGGAGACGGAGCCTGGAGATGGGGGGTCACCCAGACGGTGAGTGTCCCCCAACTTACACCCCCCACTTTCCCATAATCCTCCAGGAGCAATGTGGTCTCCATCCCTTCAAGTTTCCATGACCACATTTGATGGATGTTGGGTTGGGATGGTTTAATCTAGCCTAGATGACCTCTGCTCTGGATGACCTCATGAGGTCCCTTCCTGTCTGACTTCCCATGATTCCATAGGAGTTATGGAGTCTCCATCTCTAGATGTTTCCATGACCACATTAGACATTAGGTTAGGATGCTTTAATCCAGGATAATCTGGCCCTGAAAAGGTCCTAGATGACCTCTGGATTAGGTGACCTCATGAAGTCTCTTCCAACTCAACTTTCCCATGATCCCATGGGTGTTATGGAGTCTCCATGTCTAGAAGCTTCCAATGACCACATTAGACATTGGGTTGGGATGGTTTATCCAGGATAATCTTGCCCTGCGGCGAGCCTAGATGATCTCAGGATTGGATGACCTCTTCCAACCCCACTTTCCCATTATCCCATGGGATTTATGGAGTCTCCATCTCTAGATGTTTCCAAGAGCATGTTAGACACGGGGTTGAGATGGTTTAATCTGGGACAATCTTGCCCTGAGAAGGATCCTTTCCGCCCCCCTTTCCCATGATCCCTTAGGTGTTATACCTCCATCCCTGGAGGTTTCCAAGGCCACGTTGCCTCACCCAACCGGGACCCTTCTAGCCCATGGTCTCTATGGTCACCTCCCACCACACGGGTGTCTCATCGTTCTGAGATGTGGACCCTCTATGGACATGGGCTTTCCCAGGAGGCCTTGCACTCGCTACCCAGGACCACCCCCACCCGGGGATTCTGGGGGTGGAGGTGGTGACTCTGCCTCCCCCCACAGGTCTCCTAGCTCCTCCCCTCCACCCTCGAAGCCCTCGGCCACCTCAGCCACGCTGGAGCTGGACAAGCTCATGGCCTCCCTCTCCGACTTTCGGGTCCAGAGCAACGTGAGTCGGGGGCTGGGGGCGGGACCTGCCTCCCCGCTGGGCAGCAAAGCCTTGTGGTTAAAACTGGGAGCATCCCAGCATGGGCTGGTGGGGCAGGGACCACATACATGCAGAGTATATGCAAATTGTATGCAAATGGAATGCTGCAGTGGATATATGGGCGGGGACCCCAGGACCGCGTGGGCATGGCATGCAAATGACATGCAGGGATCAGATGCATGCAGATGATATGCAAACCATATGCAAATGGATGCTGCAGTACATTCATGGGCAGGGCTGCCAAGGCATGCAAATTATATGCAAACCAGGAACTGATAATAACCGGAGGTAGGTTTTTGCCAACTGCTATGCAACTGATACGTCAAGTGATGAGAATCGGGTTGGAGGGTGTGGCTGAGCTGTAGGGGCGGGGCTTAGCAGCAGGGGGCTGGGCTTAGTTTTGGGGGCAGAGGTTGCCTTCTGTTTCCCCTTGACTTCCCAGATGGCCAGAGGTAGTAGAGTGGGGGTGGCTTAGCTTGTGGGGGTGGAGCTTGGGATAGTGGTGGTGTCAGGGGGCAGGACTAAGCCTGGCCACACCCCCTGCAGCTCCCTGGGGCCCAGCAGGCGGTGGTGACCCCGGCCCCGCCACCTGGTGAGGGGTCGCTGGACTCGATGCTGGTGCTGCTGCAGTCAGACCTGAGCCGCCAGGGGGTTCCCACAGGCGCCAAGGGGCTCTGCGCCTCCTG